GTGGGATGACATGACAAACCACCAGTTATCCACAATGGCTTGCTGTTGTCTAAACCAGGTCAGTATGACTCTTTCATGAATACAGAACCAATTAATTATGAGAAATCAAAAATACCCTATTATCTCAAAGAACTCATTCAGACAAGTAACCATTTCTATACCATTTCTGGTTTAAAAAATATTCAACAATCCAATAATAAAATCAATGTAAATGAACCCATGATTATTTCTATTTTACAAAAGAGCAACTTTAAGTCTACATATGCACTTCCTAAGAATGTGTCCCACTAAAAACAATGTAACCTACTCCTGAGTAGACAAGTATAGAATTGTGCTGAAAGTGACTCAAGTGTCCAGTGACAGAAATGTAGTGGCTCATTCTCTATGGCACAAAAAAGTCGCTCAGTTTACTGTGACTTTTTTTTTTTAAAGAAACAGACCAAGAGGAACCAGTTCTCATGTAAGAGTAGGGACCATAAGATATTTAAACACTGATGATAAGACTGTACAACATACACAGCATGTTTCACATGCCACCCTTTTGTTTATGTAAAGTCAGTTACAGAAATAAGGTAGCATTTAATCTCAAATCACTGGAAAATCAATTTTATTTTGTAGAACTCCAATGGCAAGACCAAAATAATTTCAAGTTCCTAGTTCCTTAGGCACTCAAGATTTTGAACCATGTATTCTTGCAGTTTGAAAAAAGAATCAAGACGTAACTTCTGAGAAGAGAGTCATGTTGCTTACAGAAAGGAAAGAGTAATTAATCGAGAAGTAAGCCTGAGTAAGGCTGGTGGGTGAAAAAGAGAAGTGAAAGATGCAAAAATTACAGACAGGTGGTAGTAAAACAGTTATGGAATTAAACAGAAGGTGTTGGCAAGAAGTGGAGAGAGAGGCAAGCGGGCTCTGCAGATAGCATGATCGTTAACACAGGTCAATGATCAACAGGTTTACTATCAACAGGTTTACTATCATTACTCATCATCCATACAAGCAGAAAAGCCGTTATACGCTCAGGGCATGCCTTTCCACTTTTGGTACCAATGAAAAGAATAAGCAAAGAAATCAGCAGAGCCTCATCCTACTGGCCTGGCCTCCCCTACAGGTACCAACTAATCTGCTGGAAAGGAAAGGAAGTGAAGACAGTAACAGAGGTCACCACAGCCTTATCAAGCTGGATTGCTCTTTCCTCCTGACCACATGGCTGTTGACCACTGATGACTTGTTTCATGTTGATACTCTCTGATGTAATTTTTATAAATGTATTTTGATATTACCAGTAAGACTGCTTGGAAAAATCTTTGCAGACAGATTTCCACTGACCAGGTATAAATGTAACTGTAGGTCCTATTATTTAAGTTCAAAACCCCTAAAAATGTCATTGTTACAGATAAGCTTCTCTCTGTATTCTTGTTTCTAAGAATTACTGTATCAGTCCAGTACAATTATACTAGAAGTTAAAATAGCATCCAAACTTAGTTCTCACATCATGGTAAGCCACCCTGAAGATAAACAAATATACTCATGAATCAAGAAAACATTTGAGGAGATCTGTACATATTTAATTAAAAACAAACTTTCAGTGAGATTGGTGTAAATCCAATGATAATAATTATTGCAAATAAGCATAATAGTTGCAAATTTTCACAGATCTCCTCAAGCATGGGGGTAGGAAAAGCTATCACTGTCTAGGGAAGCAACTCGTAGAAGAATTAACTGATTTGTGTCATATCGTATCAATGTATTGGAGGCATGGATAGTAAAGGAGGTTGGAGACATCACTGATGAAAGTGGGAGGAGCTTTACTCACTGCTTTTGCCCATACAGCTCTGCAGCCCTTTCTGACAAGCCAAACATAGGTTTGCATATCATGACAAGGCAAACAGAAAACAAACCATCCAGAAGAACTCAAAAAGCCATGGGTTCTCAAGGGCTGCCTATGCATGGTTAACAAATCACAATGACAAAACTATGCCAGGTTCATACATCATGACAAACCACCGTCAAACAAACAGGGGTGACCACCCAATTTGATTTGTTAAGTCATGTGAACCAGGTCAAACTTCATGCTTTCTTTAGCATACTTCACACTGAATTCTAAGAGACAGGCTATATATACAATATATAATATTGTCAAATTAATACTAGGAGTATTAACTCAAATGCTAATGATCCAATATAGTATTTCTGTGCTAAATAATGCTATTTCCATTACAAGCCAAGAGAGTATCTGCACTGTCCACTCATTCCAAACTAAAGAAAAATAACATAAAGTACATAGGGGTAACATATGTTACATTTATTTAGTTATAAAAGTTGTGTGCTGTCCATTACTTGCATCTCTGGACGTATGTTGATTGTTAACATCTAATTTTGATTTTAACTTGTCTTTTCTTTACCAATGTTCAAATCCAAACTATAGTAAGCATGTCATTTTAACTTAGGAGATTCCCATCATATTAAAATGAAAATCAGTAACCTCCCACTACTTACAAATGTTCCTGAGCTTAGCATTTTTTTTTACAAGAGAACTACTATGCATGTTTACCTAAAAGTAAATCTCACTATGTTCAATGAGACTTTCTTGCAGAAAAATAAGCAAAGGATTGTAGCCATAAGCTATCAAAATCATTTATCTGCTGAAAATTCTCTCTTCTACTTCTTATACCTGGAATCCATTAGTTCAACACCTACCTGCTTGGTGCCCCTACCTTATCAAAAAGCTCACATTTCCTATCAATTCTTTGACATAAATGACTATATTCCAATGAGCACTCTTAATATTTTCCCCATTTCTAGTTTAGTTCAAATATTTATACCACATGCCTATCATCAAGAATTAAAGAGCCTTACAAAATAACAAGGATGACATAAAACAAATGTCCTTAAAGTTATATATTCAGACAATCAAATTAAAGTGTAGCAAACAAAATTCAATATCTCAACAATAATATGAATGTTAGTACTGTAGAGAGTAACCCAAAATGGAGCTAGGCTGCTCTTCCCTGACATGGTGCTCCATAATCCAAATGCCACCATAGAAGAGGTGTTCTCTCTTGTACTAACCTTCAGAGCATCCATTGATGGCAGAACAGAAAGCTGCATGGTTGTTACAGAGCTGATGCTAGTGCTATCTGCCCCACTGTTAAAACTTAATTTGGAAACAACTTGAAACCAGCATTCTAGGTGTAGCAATGTACTAGAGTGGCAATGTTTCCTTGATGTTGTTTGAAGGTTTTTTTCCCCTGACCAGTTAAGTATAATTGATTCCTTTGATTTCAGCATGTTTTAGTCTCACATGAACCTTCCAAAACAGAACATCTGGATGCCTTCAACAGAAGAGACAGGTGGAGCAGCTGACCTAGAGAGAATACATTTAGACTGGGGGGCCATGCCATTAGCTCTACTTAAAAATATACTAACTTTATTAAGACAGATGAAAGATGCGATTATAGTGGCATATGTAATTTTACTATTGCACAAAAGTAAGAGCATCTGAGATGGACAATATAAATTTCTGAAGATTACTGAGTTATCACTTGCCAAATATTTCAGGAGAGTTGTACAAAGAAGAAGATGACAAAGACAAAGAATATTCACCTGTATCTTGGTACATAAATTTGAAGTTTAAGATTGTTACAGAAAAATCCTATGCCTATCTGCTCAGGTTCTAGTGGGTTAAATGGGGTTTACATTCAGACTCTCTCTCCAACTTTTGTTCTATATTGGTCAATTCACAGAATCTAGTGAATAGTTTACCAGTTACAAGAAAAATTCCAAAGTTGGCCTAATTTTTAATATCAAAAAGCAGACTCAAAGTTCTCTACTTAAAAGGTACATCTACTACATCTCATCATACTGTACAGGTCCTGTACTTTCATTCACAGTAATGAAACACACACATAAAGAATCAAGAAACTTCAGCCACTCCCACATTAGCACAATATTATAAATATTAGGAAATTATTCAGATTGTAGAGTGACAAAATTTTAAGGCTAGGACTTAAATGCCAAAATGTTACCTCTTGCCCTTAAGTATGAGCAGTTTACTTTGTAACATGCTACTATATACAAGCAGGCATATGCTAAGTCTTTTCATATTATTACATTTTCAAAAGTACACCTAAAGATGGAAAACTTAAATGTACAAAACCCACATCTTTACAGGAACACTAATTAGTGCTCCTCGTGTCCAGTGTACTCAGTGATAAGCACAAGTTTCCTTCCATTTGATGTGCACATGGCTCTCAGAAAGATATATATCAACAGGATCACCGAGAGGCTAAGAAACGCACTTTATGGCTTTAACATGCACAGTCAGTTTAGCAGCTGGAACAAGAAAAGGAATCACACTGCGCATCTTCACGAGAGCGGCCTTTCATCCACTTGAAAGAACGGAAGCTGCCTTCTTTCAGCCAATCCGCTGCAAACGGCCAATTCCTTCAGTTAGCTCTGAGGGGCTGAAATGCAGGCAGGACCGATTCTGCTCTGATGCTCTCAGCCCTATTCAATGTGACAGCACACAAATCCTTCAGCATTGGAAGAACCGGGGGAGCGGGGATCACTAGTTTGAAGTCCCTTCCCACGGCGCCTCTGGGAAAGACAGGTCGCGTTTCTGGCAGACAGAAGCGAGGCCCACCGGATGCCGCCACAGGGCACCATTTTCACGACCCGACTACATAGGGCCATGCTGCTGCCGCTGCTCTGTCCGGGGGGCGGGGGGCGGCAGAGGTAAAGGGGCACCAGAAGCGACTTAGGGAGGGTCTCTAGAACATCAAGCAGCCCCATCTTGCATCCCAGGGCGACGGGAATAAGGAAGGAAATCCCAAATAAAGAGTAAGGGCGTGAGATAAAGTGTGGCAAAAATAAAAGGAGAGCGGTGGAATCAGAGGCTTTAACCAGACCGGGAGAGGTGAAGCCGGTGGGGGGGGGGGAGGAGCTGTATTGCCCTCGCACAGAGAGAGAAAGAGAAAGCGAAGGCGGAGGGACTCCCTTACCTCTCTCGCGCCTTCTCTTTGGGCGGCGAGGCTTGCCGAGGCGGCCTCACCTATAGCGGCTCCCGTCGCTCCCTCGCCGTTCAATGGGCGCAGCCACGTTCAGCGCTACCAACAACAGCTGCCTCAAGGCCCAGCCCGACCTCCTGGGCGGAGGCGAGCGAGGCGCTCATCGCGCTGCGACTAACTGCCACAATCAAGGCGGCGGCGGGAGGCGGTGGGCGGGGCCGCCGAGCAGGGGCGGAGCTCAGCCGAAGGACGGGGCAAGTGGCGCGGCGGGGGGGGCTTGAAGGGGCGGGGCTTCTGCTGGTCTCCAGGGGGGGCGCGTTGCCCCGGTCACCCAGCAGCGGATAGGCAGCCGCCGATTTACCTAATCTGCTAAAATCCCATTTCCAGGTGGTGCAAGACCCTCCACGTTTCATTAAGGACAGATTTCATCTGTGGTTGGCAGGGGGGTTTTTAACTTCCCAAAGAACCCTGGGGTTATAACTAATGTTAGTCTACACAGAGTAGACCCACTGTAAGTTTTTATTTGCCCACCATTTCGAATGCTAGGAATTTTAATCTAGTTTTAATCTTTTTCACAGTCGCATTTTGTTTTTGATTTTGATTTTGATTCTGCTCAATTTTGATTCTGTGTTGATTTTGTTTTCATTTGTGAAATGTTATTGTTGGTTTTATGTACATTATTAATTATTGTTAATTGTTGGGTTATTTGTTTTGATTTTTGTAAGTTGCTGAGGCGCTTTTGCGTATAGGGCAGGGTATAAATATTTTAAATAAATAAATAATGAGTCTTGAGTTAGATTAACACAGGATACAATCTCTAAGAAATGTAGTTATGTGAGTCAGGGTAGATGTAAAGCAGATTACTAAAAATGGAAAATAATTTGCTATTTTCTTAGGAAGGATTTTGTTCACAGCCCATTATTTTGGGAAGAAAGGCAACATTGGTTGCCAGAACCAGTTGTCCATTCCTTCTGCTCTCAACCTACCACCCAGCTCACTTCAGTATCACATGGGATGTTACAGTCTTTTGGGAAAATAAACAATTATCCTTTCCCAGGGCCTTTTATTTTCCCAAGCACTCTTTTGCTGGCAGATTGTTGATAGCCTGTATTTGGGAATGTATTCGTAAATTAAAAACCTTTTTCATTGTCTTTGGCTACAGCAAACGTTGCCTGAAGTGTGCATAAATTAACCAGCCACCATGCCTATATTCCAAGTGTTTCCTCTTTAAATGACCATTTAATATTAAGAAAAAAGCGCCTGCAGATATCCAGTAATTTAAAAATAGTGCAAGCACACACCATTGTGGAGGTGCCTTAATACTTACTGGATTTTAAATATCTTCCAGTGGAGTTAACCACAGAATCATCCTTCTTTAAGGGAGTGTCCTTTATTAATTATTTTTAAATCACCAACGACTTTTTTTAAATCTAGACAGTTTATAATAAGAATATAGATTTTATCAACATCAGTTTCACTGACAATACCAAAATGCATTGAACACAACAATATGCAATAATTTTTAATAGGCCTGATGTAATCAGTTCAACGCCTCTAATGAAAAAGCTCTTCTTGTTTTGCAGTGGAGGATTTGTTTGCACTTAGCTTATGGATACATTTAGATAGATTAGATTAATTCAGTTAGGACAAGCAGCTCTTCAGAGAACAAGATATCTGTTTTAAAAAACAAATTCAACTCTCTCAGCATACTGATAGTTTTTTAAAAAATGGCATTCTAGATTTTCCCTTAGTGCATTGTGGGAATCAACCATATGCCTATGCAGCTGGTGCCTTGCTTACTGACGTCTTTGCATTTCCAAATGCTGAAGTGTCAGTCTGTTTTTAAAACAGCAGCGGCATGTCTATTCAGCGAAGAGAGAAAACAAAGGTGCAGATGTGCTTTCAGCTTATGGTGCAATGTAACATTCCTTTCCCTGGATCCTAGTGACAAACAGTTTTCATGGAGTTGTTTAAAGAACAGTTTGATCTCAAGTATAATTACTCAAAAGTAAGTCGTACTGATAGCAATAAGGTTTTCTCCCAAGTATGTGTTTTTTGGATTGCAAAGCTAGGGTTAAAGTAGGCATGATGTGTGATGGTTATGATTAGAACCAGAGAAGCCTGTTGACTCTTGGGTTAGTGGGGTTCCTTATCCATTGCAGCTTTTCTTCTGAGCTTTGTAGCAACTCTGTACAGCACTGAAGTCCATCCCCCAGATAGGTTCCACTATCAAGTTTAAAATAAAAGCTGCAATGGATAAGGAGCCTCATAAGGAGCTGATAATTAGTTATCAGCTTCCCCTGATTAGAAATTCTCACTTTATAGGAGGAAAATGATCCTTAACAGCATCAAAAAGTCCCTCCACTCTTAGACTGAGAACATTTTATTGGAAGGAGTCAGCCCTTTCCTGGGGTAGCGGGAGGAAATCATACAGGTATGCAAGAGTACTTGATTTTATCTCTGGCTGCTGCTAAAGCAGAGTTCAGCTTTTGCCAAGGAAATAGAATGCGCAAACTGGAAATTGGCACAGTTTCAGCAAACATGGAAAGGGATCTCTTATCACAAGAGTATTCCTGTGGTATTATGCCATGATTTCCTGGTGTGCATGTTCAGCTTCTTGTGGGAACAGATCGCTTGTGTGAGCTGACAAAAAGATAAAACCAGAAGCTGTTTGGAACAGGTGGACAGGAAGTTAAACACTGAAATTGTTTCATATTGGAAGAGCTGTACTTGTGTGTGCACTAAATGTCAAGATATATGAACACACACACACACACACAGAGAGAGAGAGAGAGAGAGAGAGAGAGAGAGAGAGAGAGAGAGAGAGAGAGAATTTTTACTGCAATCAGTAGACACTGGCATACAGATTAGTTGCCACTGCAGACAAGTACAACTAGAAATTTAACTTGCATATACTAGTGGTCCGGCAGGCATCGTCTACCCTGTTAAGTTTGAAACAATTTGCAAAATTTAGAGTAGAATGGGGGTCACAGGTCTGTAGTCTGCCTAAAAGTTTGAGGGAGGTCACCAAAAAAGTAGAGGGGTGGTTTATTTAGTTTGTGGGCCTTCCAGAGACAAAATTGTAAACTATGGTAATAGTTTGTTTAAAAAATTGTGGGGAGGAGACGCAGAGGAAACCACTCCTAGCTATATGCCTAGGGTTGTCTATTCTAAATCATAGTGGAAATAGTGCTTCATTGGAAGCAGGAATCTTGATCCACTGGATCAGGGTTGAGGGCTGAAGTATACTTCATATAAACTATGCACTTTGGTGCTTGTGTTTTGAAGTTTAAGTAGCAACTGTAGGGGTGCAGGTGGGAATTGGTTTATGAACTGCAGTACACAGGAAGCGGAACTAGGGTGGACACTTACAAATCACCATAAAGAGGAAATGGACCACTAAAAGTGAGGATGAAAGAGGGCAGTGATTTGCATGAAGTATGCACGTGCTGATTTGTGTGTGTAAGTGCAGATTTAGAAGTAATTACTATACTTTCAATGAAAATTCAGTACATCTAGCAGAGTGCTGAAGACTGTCACCCAGGTGTGCGGTAGCCGTGCCTATTCAGTCTTCTTCAGGTGCTAACCGTTGATGGGCACCAAGATAAAACAGTTCTTGGGTTTTATCTTTAAACCAAACTTGGAGAAGACAGTCTTTCAAATTAAGACTGTTCTCTGTAAAGGAAACTGATGTATAAATAAGTGGGTATAACTTTCGTAGGTAAAATCATGCAAACATTTACACATAGCTGGGCCAAAGAAAAACCTTCTTTTCTGGAAATCAGCCTGTGTGCATCCTTGAAATGTAGCTGACACTGACCAGGCACCATTCCAGAGAAAACTAGTTGGCACTGGACAGATAAGAGCAGTTCAAAGGGCAGTTTACACCAGTCCCTCCTCTGGCATCCCAGATGGGACTTCAACCCATAGTCCCTGGCTTAGGAGGGCAATGCCTTATGCCTTATCCATTAAAGGTAAAGGCAAAGGTTTCCGCATGACATTAAAGTCCAGTCATGTCTGACTCTAAGGGGTGGTACTCATCTCCGTTTCCTAGCTGAGGGAGCCAGCGTTTGTCCGCGGACAGTCTTTATGGTCATGTGGCCAGAATGACTAAACACCGGAGTACACAGAACGCGGTTACCTTCCCACCAAAGTGGTACCTTTTTATTTACTTGCATTTGTATGGTTCATATGAACAATAATAAACATTTATTCTTGGGTGGTCTACCTAAGCAGGACTGACCCTTTGCCCCTGTGTTGCAGCTCTTAATAACCCCCTACCCGCCCTGCCCCCCCAAAGCTGATATTTGGCATGAGAAGAAAGCAACCTCCTCTGCAATAGGTGAGGAAAAGTGATTCTGTACATGTGCAGAATGCATACCCATATAGCTCTTCCCAAATAGGAATTCTGCTTCTAAGGATTTATTTATTTATTTATTTATTTTATTAAAACATTTCTATGCCGCCCCTTGCCGAAGCCTCGGGGCAACTCACAGCACAAAATAAAATACAATAAAATACAAAAATAACAATATAAAATTAACAATATAAAAGAAGTCACCCTGGCCAGATAAATAAGCAAATATTGTTAACAATTAAAATGACGTTTAAATAAAAAGGTCTTCGCCTGGCGCCGAAAAACAAATAACGACGACAAATTTATAGGAAATGTTGGTTAGAAATGTCCGTTGTGGGAGATGGGCAGAGAGAGGCCCCTCATCTGTGAACTGGGGTTAGGACAGAACTCTGCTGAAATAAGGAAATTTCAAAATAACATGGTCCCTTTTCCCACTCCCTTGCTTGTCAGAGTACTGTGATTTCTTTCTCATTTCTCTCTCCCTCTTGCTTCCCCTTCCTGACCTATGCACTGTTTTAACCTCCATAGCAGAACCATTGCAATGTAGATGTAAATATCTAAAATATTGACATAGGGAAATAATGACAGAGACTTGATAGAGATTTATAAAATTATGAAAGGGAGAGAGTATCTCCCTTTATCTCCAAGTCTAGATCTGTGGAGAGTGAAGGGGGCAGTTGTCCCACAGCAGATAATTTCCTTTTTTCTTTTAGAAGCCATTCTGCATGTAAATTGCCTGCTGGGTGAGGCAAGGACCCCTCTTGGCCCCTGGCCCCCAGATCCAGGCATCTCACCCTGTGTGTCACTCATTCTGCATCCTAAAAGCTGAGATGCTTC